AATTCATGGTGATGGATATCAGAGCAGTGGTTGCCTCCGGGGGGAATTTTGGGGTGAATGTTCTCCTTAATTATAAAGTCTCTGCAGTGGTGTGCATATTTTGTAAAAAAAAAAAAATGCTTAAAATGGGTGCATATTATGGTAGTAAATTATAGCTCAGTAATCTTTATTTTAAAAATGGTACTGGTGATAATTCCTGTTGATTGTTACTTTTTAATTGTTAACCATTGCTTTGGAATGAGTGCTTAGTTTAAGAGCTTGCACAGTGAGGTTAAACACAGTGGGTTTATATCCAGGTCAGCCAGAGACTTACCTGCTGAAGGCAACTGAGGGGCTTGTGTAGCTCCTCCGGAGTGTCAGCTTTCCTAGGAATGTGCTGGGGAAAGTATTTGTACCTTACTAGGTCATCATGAAGATGCAGAACAGGAATTTAGGCAAAGTTCTTTGCATCACCACTCAACTTTTAAAACACTTTGTCAGATTCTTTTCTCTGTTTTAATTACAAACTTTTCTTAAGGACTTTATGGTCTTTATTAGTGAAGATGATTTATAACTATAAAGTCAATACTTTTCATTCATAGGCCAATTGACTGCACAGTATTTGTGGCAGCCTGCTTTGTAGAAGGGTACTTTCTAGATTCTAAAAATGCAACAGAGAAAAAAGCAAAGGCCCTTCCCTGGGTAGCACTGATGTTTCGGGGGAAAAGAACCTTAAACATGTAGAAATGCAAGGGTTAACGAAGTATAGAGTAGGAAGGAAAACTTGGGAGCTTATTAGGTGCTGGGTGATTAGATTTTTTTTTTTTTTTGCGGATCCGGGGATTGAACTCAGGCCCTTGCGCTTGCCAGGAAAGCACTTATTCCACTGAGCCATCTCCCCGGCCCTACTGAGCCATCTCCCCGGCCCTACTGAGCCATCTCCCCGGCCCTACTGAACCATCTCCCCAGCCCTACTGAGCCATCTCCCCGGCCCACTGAGCCATCTCCCCGGCCCACTGAGCCATCTCCCCGGCCCTAGATTTTTAATAATGTGGCCATAAGGGGTGAAATTTAGGGAAAGCCTTGAAGGAGGTTAAAAAAAAATAGTTGTCCAGATAGTTGGGAAGTCCAGAGGCCAATGGTTGGAGCACAAGGAGGCATTTACAGAGCAATGTGAAGACAACACAGAGACTACAGAGCAAGTAGGGGTGAGATGGGGGACGCAAGGTCAGAAAGATAAAGGGGACCCAAGGACTTGTGGCTGACTAAAGGACCTCGCATTTTTCTGTCAGTAAAGCGTGGTGCCACTACATGATTTTGAGCAGGGATGCAACATGAGCTAGCTGGCCTGATGTGAAAGGATCCTCCTAGCTCAGCGCTCTGTCGTCAAACTTTCTGTAGTGATAGCAGCACTCCCTGCCATGTAGGATGGTAGCCACTCATCACATCTCACTCTTAGGAGCATGAGCTAATGTGAGAGAGAAAGTGCATTTTTAATTGACATGTAAGTAATCTAAATTCCAATTTAGTAAGAAGTCACCTGAGGCTACAGCCAGCCATATTGGGCAGTGCTTAGTTGAGAATAAATTGAAGAGGAATAGGGGAAAGCAAAACATGTAGGCTTGGGGTGAGGGTAGGGGTGGCAGTAAGCCAGCTCACAGGTGGCGTTCAGCAAGGTGGTAGCACTGGGTATGGTGCTGATTGTTCACATTCTAGAGCCATTCTCAAGGCAGAATCAGTATGATTACATGATCTGCTGGCAGATTTTCTAATGGAAAATGATGCAGAGAGATGCCAAAGATGACTGTAGGATTTGGAGGCTGAGAGATGAGAAACTGGAGGGGGGATGAAGTGGGACAGGGAAGCTTCAAAAAGCTGTAGGGGACTGATGAGGAATTTTAGGTTGAATGTGTTAAGTTGGGGATGCTTTGTAAAATTTGATTTTCAGATATCATGAACATTTTTGGCATGACAGGCTTTATCTGAAGGACCTGCAGGATGTATCCTTTATCAGAGGACATGGTCAGTGAGTGACAGGATGGAGAGTGGACAGTGTGGAGTCTCTTGACTTAAAAACGTGGTCTCCATCAGACAAATCAAGTCCAGGCAATATGAGACCTCGGGGTCTGTATAGTTTTTTTCTTTTGTCCTTAAATTATGACTTAAGTCCAGGTAATTATAGATAAGAAGTTGATTGAATGTGCTGAAGAAAAAAGAGGGAGGTACAAGCAAAGAAGTGCACCCCCCTTGTGTTTACTTTGAAAGGGAGCTTTCTCAGAGGGCTTCCTGGTCATCAGCGCATGTAGCTGGCTATAATTACGTTTGACTTCTGCACTTCACCACAGAAGAAATAACATGTTCATACAGCCTGTCTTGTTTCACTCTGCAATCCTGGTGTTTCATTTTGTTTTGCTTTGCTTTGCCTTGCTTTATTTCCCTGGCCCTCTCCAATCAGCCTTCCTCTCGGCCCTGTGGCCTGGCTCAGGCCGTGGCATGGAGCCTCCTTTCTTTGCTCTGCCCTAGGGTCACTTTGGAGGCAGCCACATAGGCTGTGGACATGCATTACAGCATGCCGTGGCATGCTTTAAGGAGGAGAGAAACCTGGTTCAGGAAGGCTTTGGTAGTATGGCTTGAACTTTTCCAAAGACTGGCCACCTCATTACGCACTTGGACCTGGACTCTATTCTATATTAGTTAGCTCCTCTGCACCCCTGGGTGCAGAATGGGAACCCCTTCACATGGGATATTGCTTCATCCTTCTTGCTAACCTAACTAGCACTTTCGTGGAAGGATGTGTCTGTTGTGTCTTGTGAGCTTTGAGATTTGGCGGTGGCCTCTGCACTTCTGTCTGAGGCTGCGGCTGCTGCTGCTGGTGGTGGCAGGGTTTCTAAGCACTGATATGAATATCCTTCGATTCTCTTTGGGAGGGACGAATTTTACAGTCCATAAGATGAGATTCACTGCATCCATCTGGGTTCCCTGTTTTTTTTTCAGTCCAGCAAAAAGATTTTCTGAATGTGTGACATATTATGAATAATGTTCTTGCTAAATTTTGATAAGATACTAAGTGGAATTCTTAAGGAAATGAGTATCTAGTTAATGGGAGTTCTAGAATTACATGGTGTCCGCAAAAAGTCATGTTGTCTTCTGTTGCCAGCATTTTCTCTCAGATGTGTGGCTTACAGTTCTACCTCAGCGAAAAGCTTGCAGCACAGAACATGGAGCCCCTTTGATGTAGGCTGATGTCTCCTGGCATTACCCTGGCGATGGAGCGCAGCACGGCAGCTTTAGCTCCTTGAGCTGGAAGTTCCCTGGTTCAGTCCCCTTACTTTATAGGTGGGAAACTAAGGCCAGGAATGCCAGGGAGCTTCCCAACACCCATTTGTAGGAAATGGGGCTCCAGAATAGTGGATAAGGACCTCAGCTGTAGAGCTGGGCCGGTCTGGGTCCCGACTGTTCCTTGCCAGCTCTTGACCTTGCAGCTTTGAAAGTGCTGCTAAGAGCTTGCTCTGTTTCCTCAGCAAAGTGACTTTTGATTAATCAATTAATTAATTCTCCATGAGTTTAGGTTTTCATTGGTATTGTAATACATTTCCAAGAACTTACTGTGGCTTTAAATAACACCAGTTTATTTCCCTAAAGGTCTGGGTGTAAACATTTGAAGTGGCTGAAATGAAGGTGTCGGCGAGGTTGTGTTCCTTTAGAACCTATAGGGGAGAAGCTATTTTCTTGTCCTGCACAGGGTTTAGAAGCTTCCTGTACTCCTTGGCGTGTGACCCAGTCCTGCATCTTTAGAATCAGCAGCATCCTCCTGCATTCTCCCCCAGGCCACCCTCTCTCTGGGATTTTTCTGCATCCTCTTTCTCACTTAAAATCTCTTGCAGGGGTTGGAGAGAGAGCTCAGTGGTCTAAGCACCTGCCTGGCAAGCGCAAGCACCTGAGTTTGACCCCTAGTACGACATGCCATGCTGCCCTAGAGCCCTGGGCACACTCTGCCGGCCGCTGAAACAGCATGGAGGTGCACACCTGTAACCCCAGTGCTGGGAACACTGAGACAGGAAGATCACAGGAGTCTGAACTGCATAGCAAGATCCTGAATTTTTTTTTCAAAATTTTATTGATAAACAGATAGCAATGAGACAGTTCCAAATCAAATCAGTAGTACAGTTTCAATAACCAACACACCGCACATACTCTTCCTAGTGGTTAATTGCTATACAAGATGCAGACTTGAGACACTATTTACAAACACCACTAGAATAAATCATTCTATTCATTAAGAGAATGTAACTATATATCTATCCTAACCACTTTGAATACACAGATACAAGATCCTGAATTTTTAAAAAAAGATAATAAATACGTAAATAAATAAATGGATGAATGAATGCAAGCTCTTGCAACTATACACTGCATTGGGCCCACCTCAAAAATGTAGGGCAGTCTTTTGGTCTGAAGGTCACTTGATTAGAAAATTCAGCTTCATCTTCAATGTCAACTCTGCCCTTTGTGGTGTGGCTTCCACTATTCACAGAACCCAGAGGGCAGGGTGTGAACATCCTAGGGACCATCATTCAGCCTGCCACAGTCTACCACGACAATTAAAATAATCTCATACATCAGGGTGAGAATTAAGTTAAGTGATTGCACATTATAATAAAGGTAAAGAAAGTGGTGATGACGCCAGCCAATATTCTGAAGAACCGTGTACACCAGGCAAACTGATCATTCCATAAAGTGCATGACATCATTTTGTGCTTTGCAGCAGATATTTAGAATCCAGCACTAATTTTATCACTTTTCACAATGGAAACTGAGAAAAATGCAGTTAAGAGCAGATCAAACTGCAGCACGACTGGGCTGTACAGTATGTGCATGGGACAGATATCCTGGAATTCTAGGATAATGATTTGAATCGCATTGCTTTACTCCAGTCTTGATCAGCTCTGCTAGATGGATGCCAGATCTCTTGGGTCCATGCCACGTTTTCTCCAAATTAACTGTTGCTGCCCCCCAGCCCTTGGGAATCCACGAGTGGCCGGGTGCCACAGAACCCTCGCGCTCCTGCGCTGCTAGAGGCGCCTCCTCTGCTGCTTTCCACTGCGTTTGCCTCTTCCTGAACACTTGGTCTGATGTCAGTGACCCCACAGGATAAATAGTGTCTAAAAGCTTCAAGGACTTCCATTTTTCTGGGCGTGTCACCCTCATCAACACTTTCTTTCCTTTCAGGACATTTGCAAGTCCCTTTGGTGCCACCGAGTGGGCCACAGGTGCGAGACCAAGTTTATGCCGGCAGCCGAAGGAACCATTTGTGGCTTCAGTATGGTAAACTGCATACCTGTTGGTTTTCAGCTCTGGAAATTTGCAAGGCATAGAACCCAAGCAGACTTCTTGTACAGGGACCTTCAAACACAGTGTCCAGGGTCTGCCTTCTCTTCACGTTAGCCAGCATTATATCACGTGCTGAATGCTAATGTAACAAAGCTAATTCAATTATGTAAGGGTTTTTTTTGCCTTTGCTTTCCTTTTTTTTTTTTTTTTAAGATGGGGGTTTGAATCAACATATCTCCGTTTCACTCAGCTAATAGGTCTCATCGCACCTTATGCCTCTTAAACTGGACATGTTAGGTAAAAGCCTTAGAAGCAGCTTTCCCCATCAGCAGCAGTGAAGTGACTGTCCCTCCACACCAAAACCTCTGCTGTCTGGGAGCTCCTGCCAGGCCCACAGAGGCCACCACTTACAGTGACACTGCTGTGGAAGGATCGAGGGTTTCTCCTTCTATTTAAGCGCTCATCTGTATTAGTTTCTGTCTTCCTCTCTTTCACAGTTTTAAAGCCCTACAGGAAAGCTGAACTGGAAGTACCCATAAATGGTCCAGATTTGGGGAGCTTTATTTAAAAAACCATGACAGAGCTCCTGGAACTGATGACATTTGCAGGCCCCTGATCTCTGGGTTTGCCTCCTCCTGGCAGTTCAAGCCTATATAGAAGAAAGGGGCACTGAAAGCCAATCCAGTCCCTCAGTGATATTTTGAGGACTAGATGTATAGCACAAGGGACTTGTAGGGAGATAGAGATGAATGTAACCCAGACATGCTCCTTTGAGCGTTTACAGTCAAGTCAGGAAGCCTACCCAGAAGCCCTTGCCTCTGTCTCCACGGCGCATGCTCTCAAAGCACTAATCAGTCTCCAGACCCTAAACTATGACGTGTGTACCTACAGCGCCTGGGTTCAGCCCGGTGGGCACTGACCTCTATGTAGAAGTTATTCCATGGGATAAGAGGAGTATCTTTTCATGAAGCGGCCAAAAATAGAAGCAAACCCCAGATGCATGCCAGCCGATGGATATCAGCAAGTGATGCTTCTTGATATTCGTGAAAGCATTTGCTCAGTGTGTTATATGTGATTTCACATGATGTTTAATTTTAAACATTGGCTTATTTCAAAGATAACATTTTAGAAATTGGAGAGTTAAGCACAGATTTTAATCAGATATATTGGTCCTAGGGTATTACCATTAGGATTCTCACTAAAAATGCTAATAGTAGTATTGTAGTTGTGGAGATACAAAGAGTGAATCAGTGGAATCACTGAAAACATAAACACTGTTCAAGTCACCTTTGTTTTTGAAGCTTGAAAACTTAAAAAATGCAACTTGAGAATCAATGGCTTTTTAAAAAGCAGCAACATTAAACATGGGATGTGTTGACATAAATACAAGAAAAGACTGATATAAATGAGGCGAATAAGTAAAACGTAACATAGGTTTAAGGTTTCTTACATAAATGCATCAGGGATCTGGGTCCATGAGGATTAAATGCACATGCATTAGGCTTTGGTAAGCGGAGCAAAAGATAAATTGAGCCCAAAGTTTTAAAACAAATAGCCTAATATTACCACCACCTCTCCCGTTATTCTCTAACTTAGGTTATAAATTAAATGCTAGGGGAAAGCCCTGCACTGTAAGATTACCCTCAGTAGAAAGCATTCTGGTAGATTCAATCCATCATCATCCCAGTGTAATTGTCTGTCTGTCTGTCTGTCTGTCTCCATTAATTCCACTGATTTTCCCTTCATCTGGGCCTGCAGTGGCTCTACTACACTATCAGCTCCAAGAGGGACAAGGCCTTGACTTCATCATGTTTCCCCTGAATGTCAGATGCAGTACAGCCCCTGCTGTATGTTGTGTCTGTAAGCAGAAGAAGCCTAATGTGTCCTTCCCCTTGCTGCACTGGCCTCTTGTCCTTCAGTGATGGGTGTGCTATGAATACTTAATAAGTCTTTGAGGACATAAAAGCCATATACTTTTATCTCAAGATATGGACGCAAAGAAAAAGAGGTTGTGGGCTGGGGCTGTGGCTCAGTGGTAAAATTCTTGCCTTAGATGCACAAGGCCCTGAGTTTGATACCCGGCACCACCACAAAAACAAAAAGAAAGGTTTTGCATGTTGCCTACCAGAAGGTATTGGTGCAAGAAAATACAGTTCAATTTGGTCTGTGAATAGATGGATAAAAATATATATGCTCATACTTAATATCTACTGTCATATGTAGAATTTATATATGCATGTGATTGTTTGCATGTCCAAGTGCAAATTCCATTTAATGTTTACTTTTATATGTAGAATTTATATATGCATGTGATTACTTGCATGTCTGTGTAAATTCTTCAGTGTTCCTGCTTGGTACACTAAAGAGCCAGAGAAAGGCAAGCTGTCGCCAGCCTAAGCCAGTGTAGGATGCACCCTAAAATAGTCTGTTTAATTGACTGATTAGAACAAGTCTAAAAAAACCCCTCACTCATTTCCAGCAAAGATATTAGATTAACATTAAGCTCTACTGACCAGTACTATACTTCTGAGATGAGAAATAGGAGTCCCATTATGAGCTTTGGCTACTGAGTCCAATCCGGTCTCCGCTTCTTAAGCAGAGATCTGGCTCGCTGTGTGACCATTAGTGTATTAATATTTTCTCCACCAAAGTTCTCTCATCTGCTTAACTAGTATCCAACTCCTGAAAACCTTGCGAGTATTATATGAGATTTTATATATGAAGTTCTCCCCACCACTTTGAGGACAGAAGCAACCTAACTGCTGCTGGTGACATCATTACTGGCGATTATTATTATTATTATTATTATTATTATTATTATTATTATTATTTGTGGTGGTGGTGGTGGTGTCTAAGTCCCAACCTCATCCCAGTGGAACCCCGTGATTACTGGGAGGGAAGAGGCATGCTTCTGTAGACAGACTCCTCAAGTGACCATCTGCTCCTTGCCAAAATTTCCCAAAATGTTATGGGATTTCATGCAGTGTCTGCACTGGCAATTAATCCAGGGGGCAAAATGAAAGACAGAGGAATTAATCAGCACATGGCAGGAATGTGAACGGAAGTGATGTGTTAGCCTAGGCAGTGCACGCTAGTAAGGAAGCCACACAATCAGCAGCCACAAAGCCAAATGTATCACGGGGGAAATGGGAAGATTTAAATGTCAAAACAATCTCCCCATCATTGTGTAACTGAAGCCCCACTCCTCAACAAAATCTGGCCTGGTCCAAACCCAACCCTTCATATCTAATTGCAGAGGCTTTTAGGAAAGTACACAGTTATGCTTAGCCATGCATAACTTGCTCATAATAGAAGAACCACAGGAGGGAAAATAAAAGACACCCTGGGCTCATGTAGCCCCCGAGGAGGGAGATGACCAGCATGGCCTGGAATTTGTTGCAAAACACTAAAATTGGAAGGTTAGCCCAGAAGACATCTCGCTGTACCTTACACAGATCCTGGGCCAATCAAAGACTAAGATCTCAGTCGTCCAAGATGCTCCAAGAGCTCACAGACATAAGAAGGGCTGAAGGAGGGACCTTTCATATAAACACCCAAAGGGTTTTGAGGTATTTGGTTTCATGACCAGTACTCTATGGATGTCTGCCGTAAACAAAAATCAAATGTGTGTATAATTGCATCTGTTTTTGTGATGAGAAAAATCACTCACACGATCGATTCTTGGTTGATAGCTTTAAAACTGCTTTTGCTTGCGAAAGAGACCTACCTGAACTGTCCCTTAGGTAGCCCTGTCTGTGACTGTAATTTTGCCACCCTCTCTTGGCTGGTGGGTGGCATTTACCTGGGTGGCTCACAAAGCCTGAGGCTCTTCTCTAGATGGCAGGCTGTCCAAGTGCACGTGGTGGACCTGGAGTATGTTAGCATTAACCCGACAAGGGCAGGGACTAATGAGGGTGTCACGTGGTGTCTTTCTACATTACTGTGTATATGTTTGTTCTCCCTGTGCTGTCCAGAGCGGCTCTAACAGGGAGCGTGCCGTGTTCTTTCTACAGTGGTGTCGCCAAGGCCAGTGTGTAAAGCTGGGGGAGCTCGGACCACGGCCCGTCCATGGTCAGTGGTCCACCTGGTCCAAGTGGTCAGAATGTTCCCGAACTTGTGGTGGAGGAGTCAAGTTTCAAGAGCGACACTGCAACAACCCCAAGTAAGACTCTGATAGAAAGTTGGTCTTTGGAAGGCCTGGACTCTGTCAGGTGTTATTTTCAACCTTTTGCTTAAAAATAATCAGCAGCGCTTTTCCGTCTGCATGTGGAGGCTCTGTATGCTCAGGAATGCTGGGTGGGCAGAAGCCAAACGCAGCAAGGGGAGCTGCACCGTGAGGGTCTAGTAACTGAAGACCGCAGTCTGGCTAGGCAAGGTGCCTTGTGCCTATAATCCCAGCTGTGGGAGGCTGAGGCAAGAGGATCACAAGTTTTGGCCCAGCTAGGCAACTTCATGTGTCATTGAGACCTTATCTCAAAGAAAAAAATTAAGAGGTTGAGGATGTAACTCAGTGCAGAGATCCTGAACTCAATCCCTGGTACCAGAAAAAAATCTATTTCAGCTTGCCAGTCGGCCACCACAGCATGGGTTACTTTCCTAAATCTCCGCAAGAGCTCTACAGCCATGTGGCCAGATGCCTGTGATGTTTCAGAATGCGGGGGCTTGGCTGTCAGAGGCTGTGTCCACTTCCCAATTCGGAGTTGCACAGATATACCCATCATGTGTTTACAGATTGACCTGACTTTTTTTTAAAGAGAAACCAGGCAAGAAATGAGGATGAGATTTCCTAGTTTGGAAATATTGAGAACAAATTGCTTTGGTTTTCCTTAAAATCCAAACTGAAAGCCCCACTGGAGACTAAGCAAGTCATCCGTGCGTGGAAATTCCCAGTGGTCACCCCAATCAAGTCACACTGCCATCTGTCCTCAGTGACATGAAGATGGCTTTGGATTACTTTTACATGTTTCATGTTATATATGAGATGGGTGTTTTCCCTTTGGCCTGCTGATGAACGAAGAGCTGCACCTCCCTGATACAAAGACTGCACGTCCTGTGTGTGGCCCTTCTTAGCTGGGGGCGCTTTTGCAAAGCTGGGCAACTCTGAGCTTTGGTGTTGTAGGAAGTGGAGCTGTGTTTCCCACCTCAGATGGTTTCGGGCAGGATGAGAGATCATGCCTGGAAGATGCCTCGAAGACTCGGGAGCCTGTCTTGGAGCCTCCATGGAAGGTTCTCGAGCCTGTGTGGCTTTCAGAGTCCTCATTCCAGACTCCCCAGGAGGGCAGTGTTACGCTTCGTGTCTAGATGCCCGCCTACGCTTCATGCAGTCATGGGGAGCAGGCTTTTTCGGAAGTGGCTGGATATCGAGTGTGTGGCTGATTCATGGTGCAAGGCTAGGACTAGCGTGCTGGGGGAAGGGTGGGTGACTGCTGCTGAGCTGGATGTGTCCACTGAGTGGATTGGCACTGCACCAATCCCAGGAGTCTGGTTAAGATAAAAGGACAGAAAGCGGCTTGCTTCCTCCTTTTTGCTCTTGCTTGCTGATTTTGCTGTCTTCTCCACCATGAACTGTTGCCCTCTGCCACGTGTCACCCTGCCTCGGAGCCACCTGATGTGGACTGAAACTTCCACAAACTGTGAGCTCAATAAGCCTTTCCTCCTTTCACTTGGGGTGTCAGGTATTTTGCCTCAGCCAGGAGAGAAAAGTAACCAAGGCAGGCAGGGTCACCCAGGGTAGCCCCACAGAGGCAAGGGGAGAAGCAGAGGCATGACTGACACTACTGGATCTGCCAGGGTGCAGTGGAATCAGAAGAATGTGGCAGGGACTTGAAAAATAGAGGATTTGACTTTGCAACACAATTGCAACATGGCACAGAGGTTAAAGGCAGACTGTGAAGCCCAGTAGCTTGGGTTTCCCTCCTGGGCTTGTCCCTACAGGCCTGTGGGCACTGATGACAGGTTCTGTCTGTTCCCAGGGTTCTCATTTATGAAAATGGGGTAATGACAGCACCTAACCAGCTGAGGTATTAGTGTAAGCTGATTTGCAAAGCACCTAAGAGGAAGGGTGCGTGGCATAAATGTTAGGTAAATTGAAAATTACACTAAGTAGGGCTGGCCAAATAGCTCAGTGGATTAAAGAGCCTGCAAGCAGGTGCAGGGGCTGGGAGTTCAATTCCCAGGCCTACCATGCAGGCCCTGCCCCCAGGGCATGCTGAGATGGCAATTGAGACTGAGCGTGGTGGCGCGCACCTGTAGTCCCAGCTCTTGGAAGGCTGTAAACAGGCGAATCACTACGATTCTGATCTACTAGTGAGTCCCTGAATACCCTGTAGACCCTTCCCTAAAATACAAAGAGAGAGAGAGAGAGAGAGAGAGAGAGAGAGAGAGAGAGAGAGAGAGAGAGAGAGAATGAGAATATTACACTAAGTAAGGAAACTAAAGCAAAAGCAAACTGCAGTGCAGTGTGGGCTAGATCAAAAGGCTACTGTCTTTCCAAATATAATGGACATTTTAGGACTTTTTCTTCCTAAAGTATAAGGGATACTTTAACCATGAGTCATTTGCAGGTGTTGTTTGGGATCTGTTGTGCATCTAGGACTTTTCACCTCCAGAACTGTTGAGTTGAAGGGCTGGAACATGCCTACCATGGGGTTTGTCTGGAATATTGTAGGATGGCTGTCATTCCTGCTAGGAGCTCCCAGGGTCACTTCATCTCCCTACCCTTAAAATGGTAGCAACCAAAAATACCTCCAGGAGTTGCCCCTGGGACTACAAGGCCAAGTCATCTTTAATGCGCACTGGCGTCTCATCCCATCCAGGCGCTGAGCATGATGGGAAGATTTCTGGTGTGTTCATGATGTACGCCACATTGTTGCAACTGCCCTTCTGATACTTTGCATTCACCCATGTTGGGGATAGGATTGTTAAAGTCATTAGACTACTTTACATTTTTGAAGTGTATTTCCTAGATCTGGTTTTCATACATCACAACATTTTACAATCTCGATATTTTCCCAAGAAAGAGATAGATTACCTAATTTAATAGCTGTGAGGGTAATAAAGTGCATGAAAAATGCCCCTGAGAGTTAAACAAAAATTTTACTCATATCTATGCAATGGATAGCTCTCACTACAAAAATAGCATTGTTCATGGAAATATGTTGTATTTTAGAAAAGCCTTATAAAAGAATTAAACATTAAAGTATTTCCACTTGGTCCCATTAAGCAAGATTAGAGACAATCAGGACTCTGCTTAACTATGCATGAAGTCACAAATGAAACAAGTAGATGATAGGATGGCCCAAGACAGTTGAATTAATTGTTGTCTCTGCTCTTAATTTGCTTTATTGTAATAAGGCTGGAGCTTTTTCCTCCCTATTTTAAGTTACTGATTTCTCACTTCAGTTTCTGTCTTTAGTTCTGTCCACATCGCTCAGCCTGTTTTTGTTTTCTCATCTGAGAAGCAGTTTATCGTTGCTGTTTTGTCCAATGATTTTTTTTCCCCCAAGTACATGTTCTTTTTTTTTTTTTTTTCTCATACAAAATGAATGATTCCCGGCTGCTTTAGGGATTACAAATTTTGGAGCTTTCGAAGAGTTTATGATTGTCAGTCTCAGAGTACCCTTTGCCATCCTGTGTGGCCGCCTCCTTTACCTCAGCTTTATATGGACAATTTTCATTGCTCCCAGCCCCACAGGATTTACTATACTTTAGAAATCTCTGAAAGTACTTTTCCAGGTATTTGCTGTGCATCAGATCAGAACCATTACATGGATTAAAGCCTCATCACATCCACTTCTCTTCCAATTGGGTACCTTGGGCACCCCAACACAGCAGCAGCCACTGCCTAGGCACCCTGCAGCTAGTGACTAAGTCAATCTGAAGGTCTATAATCTACCCTAAAAGAATCTAAGTAAATAGTACCATGAAAGAGCCCAGGTAAATTCCTATAAACTCTGTTCAAGGAAATAAACTCTATGTTCAAGGGGTACT